AACTCAAAGACCCGTCGAAATTCTCAACGAAACAGCACAGGTCCCCCTACATTCTCAACATGCATAATCAACGGGAAAAAGATGACTAGGGAGAACTATGTCACATTAGGGAGTACCCCTACCAAAACCGGATCAAGGACCCATCAAGGTTCTAATAAAAACAGTTCAGGTCCCCCTACATTATCGTTATATATAATCGTCGAGATAAAGCAAAGAGGACCAAAAAATTCAAAAAAATAGTTATGACAAGCTGGTCACGGGGTTGAGACGCCCTCACTGAGGGCACACTAACACTACCACTCCCGAGAATGTATACAACAACATTTCAGGGCCAAAGTTTCGTTTTCTTTCCCCCCCCCCTTTCTTTTGTGAGTTCACGACGATGATTTTTTTTTTTTTTTTTTTTTTTTTTKTTWTTTWTKTGRGAGTAMGAGAAAARAAAAAAGAGTAMAACCCACGCTCGACAAAACTCGGAGTGCAGCGAAATTCAGGGTCTGCAAAAGAACAGGCCGTGTGTTCATTCAGTCCAGTTTTGTCTTGCCCGGTACCACTGTCGGTACCAGGCCAGTCCAGTCAGTCTGTTGGGGGTATACCCCAGTTGCAGTGTGTTTCAAACTTTCAACCTCATTCGTCATTTTACACACTTTGGAGTACGTGAGTGTTGAGTCTGCATTGGAGTTGCACTATCCCTTCCAGCTCCATTTCCATCATCCTTACCCCTTCGTGTCCATCCTGACGGACGGCCATCCCGGCGGGTCCTCCATACAAGTATCAAAGCGGGAACGTTCCCCACGAAGAAACGTGCAGTGCCGAGTGAGTGACACGTTGCGAAAAAGGAGAGAGCATTGGCACGGCGTGTTGTCGGAGGGCACAGTGTCCCCACCCTCCGTTGTGTATTAGACTCCCTAGTCACGAACCTCCTCGCCGTTCCAGGTGTACTTGGGTTACGCTCTGCTATGGGACTGGTCCAGTCGACGCTTCTATTGGCAAAAGGAGGGGGTGCGCCACTGGAATTTCATTGGTACACGCAGGCCCAACGCCCTGCTATACAACAACGCACAACCAGCCTGTGCTCGTGGTAGCCGTCGGGCTCGCCCAAGGATGCGAAAGTAGAGGGACCGACGTGGTTTTTTCTATTGCGCACCGAGTCTCCTCTAGTCGAGTTATGGGACAAGTCTGATAGTCATGATCGAAGTGAAAAGAAAAAGGAAAGAAAAGGAAAAAATAAAAGAAAGGACTGCGAAGTTAAAGCCCTTGCAAACGACCTCTTCGCAATTTCGAAAAACTCAGTCTCCTCCTTGGAAGCTCTGAAGTTCTGCTTGAAGGAGTAAGAAAGCCTGTCGGAGGCGGTGATAAATTGATCGAAGTTCATTTATCGTCCACCGACAACATATAAACTAAAAGTCGAGTGGGGGATGAAGCGCATCTTAGACTCTCAGTCGAAGAGATTCTTGGGGGTGCAAGTAGCTCTATTATCATGTGCTGCAGACCAGGATGATCTGCTGTAGTGAAACGTTCTTCATCGACTAACAACTTGGGGGAAAGCCCTCCACCTATCACTCATAGGAAGAGATGTGGTCAGAAATGTGTTTTTTTTCACTCTGCTATGGTTGTGGGAGCAGTTCGTCTGCTGGGACCGAAGGTGCGCTCAGTGGCCAAGAGAAGATCGAGACGCTCCTTTGGAAGCCATATGCAGTCGACAACGAAGGTTGCCTCTCGAAGGTAGCTAGCATGGGACCTGATATGCTTCAAGAGATGTGAAGAGGGAATGGGGCTGAGGGCTTCGGAACGACAAAACAACGCAATGCTGGTCCGCTGGATAACCAAGGGGATTTGTTCACCTTCTGAGGAACACTGGATTCTGATGGTGGAAGAAATACTAGGGAGGGCCTGAAACTTCAAACTCACTCGCCCTGAGGACGTGTGGGCATGTATCTGGATTGACTCTTATCTGCTACGTCTAATTTGCTCAGAATTATGGGCAGGAATATTGAAGGTTTGGAGGAAAGTGAAGCCAGACAAATGGGTGAAGCCAGCCACGAAACAAGAGGTGTTGGCATAGATTCTCTTTGAGAACCTCTCAATCAGAGACCGGGAAGGGCGGTGGTTCACGGCCAACAGGGACGCAGGTAGCTTCGGCAAACAATGGGTTCAAAGAGGCGTCACTCGGGTAAGAGACCTCTGAGATACGTTAAGAGGGGACTGGGCTGCTCTAGATCTTCTGAAGGAGAAGCTAGTACTCTTGAAGGGCGCGAAAGAGAAGTTAAATAAACTAAGAGAGGCAATTCCGGTTGAATGGAAAGCAATATTGGCTCTGAATCTTGAAGGGGTGGACCCATCGGGCATGTGGTATGCAGGGGAGCAGCAGGATAAAACTCAAGACTTCTGAAAACTAACACTGATAGATGCAGATGGAAGGAAATCGTTCCAACAGTGGGAAAAAAAAGGAAGAGAAAGCGGCCTAACACTTATACAACTGAGGGAAGATGAGGAAGCGGTAAGAAGACCACCTCCAGTGTTGGAACAAGTCATTATTAAGGAAAGAGTAAACGAAGCAGGAGAACGGTTAGCAGAGGCGGTATGCGGAGGACAAACACTGTCAAGCATTCGAACGGACCCAATGGGCCTGGCGAGACAAAGGTCAAGGGGGAGAAGACATACAACTCTTCGAGTACTCATTGAAAATGGGATATAAGGTACAACAACCGTCGAGAACTCCAAGTATGGTCACGGTGGCCTCAAAGCGATGGGCAAAACTACTTCATGGAGCCGAAGAGGATCATCAAGATAAACAATAGATGATGGCAACATCTTACTATCATGTCGTCATAACGGTTGGCAGCAGGGCTATGGCTGCTCTCTATAGCAGCTACACCCTCGACACTTTGGTTGGCTGAGAAAGGAATGATAGTGGACACCACGTGCAAGAGATGCGAATGGGCCTACGAGTCCACCATACACCTATGGTGGGACTGCCCTGCCTCAAGGCCCATATGGAGATGGCGGAAGGCGAAATGGGAGGAAGTCTCAGACAATGCATTCACCTGGGACAAACTGTGGGTACTATTGGGAGAAGTTCCAAAAGGACTGAGCCTCCACAAAGACTAGGGATACGTGGCGCAAGTAATTAGGGCGGTGGGGATCTGGCAGGGAAGGAACAAGACATGCATGATTGCAAAATGAAATACACCTTCAAAAACCTGATCCGCCACGCCATAGCTGCAGATCGGAAGAGAAATGTTGCCAAGAGCAAGAATAGACAGCAAGGCAGAAGATGGTTCGAGGAAACCTAGGCACATAGGAATAAGTTAGTTAAGGTAGGGGTGGTGGAGGGGTTAGTGTTCTCCAAGTGGTTAACCAGCTAGATCAACCAGGACACTCTGTTGCTTTATCCGCAATAGGAGGCAAGAGGGAAGTCGCGGAAGAGAGTGTCACGACGGAAGGGGATTGAAGATCTACTCGGTCGACTTAGACGGAGTTTAACGAGAGACTGCTTACAGTAGGGTAGAATAGAATGGGTGGGTTGAGAAGTATTGCTTAAGAGGTAGAGGAAATTGAAAAAAGTTTAAAGAAAAAAAATATATAGAAGGTCTCTAATACTCCATATCCCCCCCCCCCCCCCCCCCCCCCCCCCCCCCCCCCCCTCCCACGCCCCGTTACTACCTATACCTACCTACATCCCATTCACTCCTCAGGGCCTATAGGAAGGTTTATTTGTTGCGCTGTGTTGTCGGCTAAATCCCGCTACCAAACTAGGTAATGGTCCCAGTACATTGTTGGTGTTCTTTCTGGGTTGTTTGTGAGAATTCCCGGTCTYATGACTTTTTTTTTTTTTTTTTTTTTTTTTTTTTTTTTGGACCTCATGTTTTCATGAATAAAGGTTCCTATCCGGCGGCCTAGCTCAGTTGGTAAGGCACGCAAGTGGCATTCAGGAGGTCTTGGGTTCAATCCCCATTGGTCTCATGTACCTTCCTGGGCATGCTTGCCCCCCGCCACCTAGAGATAGCCCGTTGGTCCCCCCAATTGGCATTAAAAAGCAGTCTCTGCTGATGTTCATAGGGGGAGGGGTAATCGGGGAGGCACAACGACTGGCCACTTAGATGATGCTCGGTCCCTCTGCTACCGGCTGTCCCCTGGCCGGTGTCCCCCATTGGGGGTTCCCTGAAGGCAATGAAGGCCACCCTAGGCTGAAAAGGCCACCCGATGTCAGATTAGACACAATATAATATTGAATTTACCTGGGCTGGTTAGTCCGATGATAATACCTCAAGGCCATCGCCCTTTAAAAAAAATAAAAATAAAGGTTTCTTGCACGTTTTTCCCCAAAAAGAAAAAATGGAGATGCTGGGCACCGCAGGCGCAAAACAGAGGACCTCCTGATCCGGACCTCTCTAGGTGGGAAAGCAGAGGCGGTTCAAACAGGCGGTGTACCAGAGCCAGCAGTTCCAGGTGGGACTCATGGAGAGAAGACAACCTAAAGAACAGGGGAGATGCTTCACAAACATGGAGACACAACAAGCTGGGCCACATCGACTCAGAGAGACCAGAGGAGGAGACGGCACGGAGAAGGGGGACAGGGAGCCAACAGAGGGGGAACTCTGCAGTACAAGTGGAGCACTCAAAAATTTCTTTGTCCTCACATTCCAAAGTAAGGTGGGGAAGTGAGTGTTGTGAGGAGGTAGAGTCATCAGGGGAGTTGTCGTCCATGGAGAGCTCGACTGCATCAGGGATCAGAGGCAGAGACAAACAGATAAGAGAAGATAGACATATACCAGACAAGAGTCACAAAGCCGAGACGCTGGACAGAAACAGAATGGAGGCATTTCAAAGAAGCCTGATCCCGTTGATCTGCACCAGGACGATGAAAGGCACATGCTTTATCACGCTCTCCAATGAGGAGGGCGCTCCATTGATCCCCTCGGTGGAGGTGAACAGCTCGCCAACTCCAGCAGTGATCCTCGAGGAAACTAGAAAGATGTATGGGGCGCACATACCAGTGAGGCTGATCCCACACTCGACCATGGCTAGTGTAATCTGTGAAACGGTTCAAGGCTACACAAAAATGTACTTCCCGCTACTCGACGCCAGAATTCCGTCAGAGGTGGCGCACACGTTAACACAGGCAGACATTCGTTGGTTCCACATGGACCTCATTAGAGAGCGCAACATGCAGGAGCTGGAACAGATAAAGGTCCTACCGGGAATCTCCGGTTTGGTCCTGCTAAATGCGAATGAGAAGCCCATGGGAGAATTCTCTCAGTGGTGGGAGGGCCCACAAGTGTGGGCCCCAGCGCAGGGCACCCGAGGGAAAGTTGGTATCATGTTGCACAAGGACCTCCAAGCACAGATAATCGACTCAGAAGCAAATATTTGGGGTAGATGGGCGTGGCTGAAGGCGGTCATTGGCAAGGAGGAATGGGTTTTCATGACGGTATATGCACCAACAGAGGCGGGGGAAAAGGGTAAATTCTTCGCAAGACTAATGCTCCATGTCCCCAAAGCTGACAGACGGTTGCTAGCAGGGGACTGGAACGTGTCCTTAAATGAAGCCCTGAGATCCGGAGCACCGACAACAAACAGGAACGACGTGAGGACTGTACTTGAGTTCATAGCGGAACTGACGCTGGTGGATCCATTCCCTATTCTGAACCCGGATGACCCAGGTTACACCAGGACATCACACTTGCAGCGGGACAGACAGACGGTGACCAGAAGACGCCTAGACTACTTTCTACTTTCAGAGCAGGTGATGGACAGAGTTACCTCTGTCAGACACGCCTTCCACCCGATCTCCGACCACAAATCGGTAATGGTAGACCTTCGACCGAATCTGGGCTGCGAAAGAGGGAGAGGATTCTTTCGTTTGAACAACCAAGTGCTAAGGGTCCCCGGAGTGGGGGAATGGGTGACGGATCACATGACCAGATGGGAGGGTACTAGACACCTGTTAAGCTCCACTGCAGAATGGTTGGACGGGAATCTAGCTATCACGTCTGGGGTTCTTGACGTGATCTTAAGGATAATAACAAGGACAAGAAACAAGAGGGAGGCGGACTGCAAGAAGAGGGTGGAAGAGGTGGAAGAACGCATGGAAGGTCGCCCCATTTCGCTGATGGTATGGGCCGCAGAACGTGAAAGAAGGTTAGCGGAGTGGGACAACATTCAAGAAGAGAAGCAAAAGAGATGGACAAAGGTACTAAAAGAGAAAGGGATCGAGACACACGACAAGATGACAAAGGAGACGTTCCAAAAACTACAGTCGGGCCGTATACAGCAGCAGATGATCGAACTCAAACACCCGTTTGACGAGTCTGCACCCCCAACCTGTTCCGCAGCTGGGATGCTGCAGTATGCAAGGACATACTTACCTCCAGGCAACCGCAGGAAGAGGTGAACGTGGACCTGTCAAGCGGGTCGGACAAGTGGGACAGCACAACTGTAAAACTGCATACAACAGCCAAGTTGGATCTGGACAGACCTTTCACGGTGGAAGAACTTTCCGAAACATTTAAGACAATGGCGAAGGGCAAGTCTCCAGGAGTGGACGGACTCTCGGTGGAGTTTTATGCAGTGAATTGGGGGGTGCTAGGGTCACTACTAGTGGAACTATACAATGAGGTCCTAGTGGGGGGTAAGCTGGGAAAGGGCATGACGCATGGGGTGATCACGGTCCTGTTCAAGAAGGGTGACAAGGCGGAGGTCCGAAATTGGCGACCAATCTCCCTTCTAAACGTCTCCTACAAAATTTTGGCGAAGTCACTGGCTCGGAGGCTGTCCAAATGCCTCCTAGAGCTGGTGGAGAAGAACCAGGGGGCGTTCGTGCAGGGACGCTCTATTTTCAACAATATAATGACAGCCATAGAGTCCCTCGAAGTGATCCAAGAAGAGAATCGGGACATGGCGGTGCTCCTGCTGGACCTGGAGAAAGCGTACAACAAGGTGGGTTGGACATTCGTCCTTACCACCTTGCAGAGGATGGGTTTTGGCGACAGCTTCTGCGCCTGGGTCATTGCGATGTACACATTCTCCTCTTCAACTGTCATGATTAACGAACATTTATCCACTCCTTCTCAATTGTCAAGATCGCTACGACAAGGCTGTCCGCTTGCTCCGCTGATTTTCGTGCTTCAACTAGAGGTTCTACTAAACAAGATCTGCTCTCATCTGGAAATCAGAGGCCTGCAGTTACAGAATGGGGGGGACTGCAGAGTCAAAGCCCTTGCGGACGATCTCTTCGTAGTCAGCGAGAACACGGTCGCCTCGCTCTCAGCTCTCAAAGCGGTGATGTGTGAGTACTCGACATTGTCGGAAGCATCAATCAACTGGAACAAATATACCTACCTTCTACCCACTCAATTCTCACTGAAGGTAGAGTGGGGCATGAGAAGGGTAGAGGAAGGCGAGGAGGAGAGATTTCTGGGAATTTGGATAAGTCTGCAGATAGAGGTGTCCGATCAAGGGTTCCAGTTACAACAGAGGATTGCAGCACGTCTCAGGCTGTGGGGCTCGGCCTGACACCTCTCACTGGTAGGAAGAGCCTTGGTAGCCAGCGTTGCATTATTTTATATTTTGTGGTTCGTCACCACGGTGAGAGAGCTTGCAATTGGCATAGTGAAGGCAGTTAGAAGGCTGGCGGCGCGGTTCATATGGAAACCTCGGGCCAGCAAAGATGAGGGCTTCATTTCTAAAGTGGCGATGGACACCCTGTCTTTCCCACGTGAGGAGGGAGGATTGGGTCTGATAGACCCAGCCCGAAGGAATCAGGCACAACTATGCAGCTGGGTGTCCAAGGCTGTGGTGCAGGGCCCAACGGAGCACTGGGTTGCGTTGGCCGAACAGATCCTGATGAAGGAGTGGGGCCTCTGCAGGCCTAAAGACGTCTGGGCATGTTTTTCCATGCCATCGCTCAGGAAGAAGAGACTAAAATCACGTTTTTGGGAAGCAATACGCAAGGCTTGGAACAAGATGCCCCCAGATGTGCAAAGTATCCCGCTATGAAAGGACGATGTAATGGGCCAGCTACTCCTTGAGAATCAGTATATTCCAGACCACACTGACTCCCCCATGTCCGCTGACGGCTCGAAAGGCACCTTTGGGTTGACATGGATAAAAAGGGGAGTAGTCCGTATGGAGGATCTGTGGGCCCCGTGGTTGGGAGGGTGGAAACCTCTGGTGGAGGTGGAAGAGACTCTCAAGGGCCTACAAAGAGTGGAAGAACGCTGAAGGCAGATAATTGAAGCTATCCCATAGGACTGGGTAAGGCTGTTGGGTCCGATTGGAGTGGACCCCCCGGGTACATGGTACATCTCGGGCCTGGAGCTGGAGACAAATGTGGTGTGGAAGGTGCTAGAGGTCTTGCCCAGCGGTTTCAGGAAAGTCCAGAAATGGAGGTGCAGAGGCCCCTCCAACACCTTGTCGCTGATAGAAGAAGAAACAGTCATGACTTGGAATAACCCTGCAGAAGTCAGGGTAGTGGAAGTGCGAGGCAAGAGACCACTTACCAGGGTCCTCTCGTGGGTTGGCAAGATTTAGCTGCGCCACCTCGGCATGGACCCACTGGCCTGGGGCTGGAGTTCGACAGGGGGTGAGCCTGTTCTGAAGCTGGTAGAGTACTCAGCCACACACGGATACCAACAATCTCAAAAGCTCATAAAGTGCCCTGCCCAAGTCGCAGTCCCAAGATGGCAGGCAGTATGGGGTGAGGACTTGTCAGATACAGAACAGGATTTCTTAAGACTGTGGAAGATCCTGGCCGCGCTTCCAAACGGTAAACAGGCAAGTATTCTCTGGCTACTCTCCCTTCTAGTGACCCCATCAGCTGTTTGGCTGGTCAGCAAAGGGATGGAGGTTGATCTGGGCTGCACACAGTGCAGATGGCCATTTGAATCGACCCGCCATGTATGGTGGGACTGCCCAGCTTCAAAACGAGTATGGAATTGGTGGGCTCGTCATTGGAGGGAATTCGGGGGCCAACATGTGCTCTGGGATGAGAGGTGGGTGCTACTGGGATTTCTCCCCCCAGGAGTAAATGGACGACGTGGCTGGGGGTACGTAGTCCACGTGATCAGAGTCCTGATATGTGAAGTCATCTGGTTGGACAGGAACAGATCCAGATTCCACAAGAGGCCCTTCTCAGACGTGGAAATCAAGAGACACCTAAGACAGGGACTGAGACAGGCCATCCATGTGGACTCGAGAAGGAGAGCCAGATCGGGCAGAGGAAGCCGAAGACAAATTCGCTGGTTCTTACACACATGGGCTAAGAACCTCCAGTTGGCTGCAATCCACTCAGAGAAAGGCCTGGTCCTGTCGAGGTGGCTGATGGACACTGGACTCACAGGGAACACCAGGACAACAGGCGAAGCAGTAGGAACTGGAGCAGGACAAAGAGCTTTTGGGAGCTAGGGAGCCAGGGAGTTAGGGGGTGATGGAAAGCTAGTTGGGTAGGTAGAGTACCAACCAGGGCACTCGTTTGAATAGGACCGCGGTAGGTCAGTTAGGAGAGGGTCGTTTAGGCTTAGGACCGGGGTGTTTCCTGGTCCTCTGGGCCGAGTTAGTCCCAGAGATAGGCGTAGGGACATAGTCCACTGAAAGCAGGTGCTGAGGGTAAATGAGTCACTCTGATGAAATTGATCAAGTTGTTGAACTTTCGGTTAATTTACTCAATGTTCACGTCAATGATTTATTGAGGGAATTCTGAAGGAGGAGTACAGGTCAAACAGAGTTTTTCGTATTGGTAAACCTGCGCAGCAGGTTCGAAGGACTGCTGTCTAACTAATGAAGGTAGGTAAAATGATAACATTTTGAAGTACTGCGTTGCTTGGCGCAGGTATCAGGTAGGAAACAGAGTAAGAGTTGGGAAGTTGGTAGAATAGACTTCCTGTTGGTGCAAACCTGTAAGCTAAGCTGGCTGATGCTGTCAGTACATCCGGGTAGAATTGTGAGGTCCCCCGCCTCTGTTTGAATGTTTTCAATGGAATTAAGTTTTCATAAAAAAAAATAAAAAAAAATTGCAGAGAGGCTCCAACCATCAAGAAAAACCATCGGCCAAAAAAAA